TGCAAGGTGCGACTCACCGCGGCAAAAACCCTCGATGACACCAAGAAAACGGATTACATTAGGCAAGAATCTCACGGCTTTTTACTTTTATTTTTTGCATCAAGAAAGGCCGGCTTGGCCCATGAGTTAAAACACTCATTTAATAAGTGTAAAGAACTACGAGCAGCTTGATCCCGATTTTAGCACGTAGGCAACCTCCGGGTGCAGCCATAACTCTAATATATTTTTTATTCTCGGAAATTCAGCTTGCCATATGGAGTAGTAAGTATTTCGCAAAATCAACAAAGCAATCTTCCGTATGTGAATGGATTCAACTAAGTGAATGTTCTGGCCAAACATATGAATCAGAAGCAAAAATTAATTCTATGGCTGATCACCACTCCTTTGACACTTCGGTTTGATTTAAATATTTCTGAAGTGGAAAAGACGAAAGCCGAGGACAATACTCGCACGATCCTCGATAATACCTTTCAGGCCGAAGTGAATCATAAATGGTTGGTATTCGATCTTGTTGTCGTTTGGTATAAGACAAGCAAAGGAATCCAGCACCCAACACCAGACTCTAAAGTTCCATCACATCGCAAAACTTTTGATCTGTAAACTTCACACCGATTTATCATTAAATAAAGGTAAAATCATTAAATAAATAGATAAAATCCCTCTCGGACAATGTTATTACATACAAAGCCATGCAAAGGTCAACAAAAATACAACAAAAAAGAGGAGAGACAGCCACTTAGTTTGGTTCGTTCCATGATAACTCAGACGGCACCAAATCCGATGCCATGCTTCCTCCTTGTGCTTGTTTGAACAACTCATCAATAGCGGACCTCCATCATAAAAGCTCAAGCCAATTAAAAAGAAAAAAAGAAGGGGAAACCTTTCTCTGCCAAAAAAACAGCAAAAGTAATACTAACCTGCTCGGCAAATTAAGATCATCCTCAGTAATAACTATCTCACCGATAGCTTTACTGGCCGTCTGCCATTTCGCAAACTCCTTCTCAAAGGCTGGAAGCGTCCCGGCAGGGAGTTCCTATCTCTTTTCCTGCATCCTCTTCAGATATGTTACCATGGAACCATTCTTTTCCACGCCTATCAGGGCAGCTTCGACTTCCTCTCGCTGGGCAAGCGACGTTTGAAACCGCTCTATCTGCGGTTTAAACCAGAAGACCATGCTTTCAAAATTTTTGCCACCGATATCCCGCGAGATCTCGCTACGAGCATCTTGAAACTTCTTTTTCTCGGCAAGGAATCTCTGCGCGTTTTCCTCGTTTTGCTTCTCAAGAGATTCAAACGGCTGCGATCTGTTTACAAAGTCGAGATGATTCCGCCACCTCCACCTTAAAGGCTTCTATCGTACCTTCAAGATGAGAGCACTTCTACTTAAGAAGCTGATTCTCCTCCTCAAGTTTCTGGAGTCCTTCGAGCTTGGCGAAAGCGACATCTAGCTTCATCTCCTCATGACAATAATCTTTGTCATATGTCTCGAACGCAGACATATACGTCCCCAAGCCCTATACCACAAATTCATTGTTAAAGCGCGCGACGAAGCAAAATAAAAACACAAAAATCTCACAAAAGTATCTAAGCAATGCCGAAGTTATCGACTCGCCCAGCTTCAGCTCCCGCAGATGGTTACCCCACCTTGGGTTCTTCTTGCACCTCCAGATCAGCTTCGCAGCAAACTCACGATCAAGCATTGCTGGAGTGACGCCATCCCACTTCAAGCTGAAGTGGTTAGGATTGCAATAAAAAAAAACTCCTCCTCCTGCTTAGGCTCAGTAAAAACATCTGGAGCGGCACCTTCGGTCTCACACCAGTTCACATCTCTAGCTTAGATCGCGCAGCTTCTGGATGTATATGTCAAAACTAAATGGTTCCTTCCCAAGGCTAATCGATTCTGCAAAATAAAAAGCAGAACGATCAGAGTCCTTAGAAAATACCAAAATCAACTGATACAGGTACATGTGTTAAAACGGAGATAGCTCGGCTACCAGGCTGCGATTTCCAGGTTCCAAACATATCCAACTCGCAGCAATCGATGGAGGCCTTATTAATCTTCACAAAGAAGAAAAATATGTCCCACTCATGGACTTTACTCGTCAAATCTCCGCCGACGATGCCAAATCTCAGAGTAGTATAGAAGTGGCGCCATGCCCCTGAGCTGTTCCATCTTCCAGGCTTCAAGATGGAAATCCTTTCAAAAATCACCCAATTAAATGGAACACCTGTCTCCCGAGCTACTGCCGCCATACAGTTGAAATGCCGGATTGGGGCGTGAGAAAGCTAATCTAAGGAAATCTTTCTCCTCTCACAGTAGCGAAGAAGAAGTGACGAGATCGGGAAGCTTAGACCGAACTCAACAAAATGGCACTCATAAGTGCAGAAATAACCTTCTGGAGCCGTCGTTACTCTCTCATCAACCTGCAGTAAGAGAAGGTCGACCTCGGCAGGAAAACCGCATCTTTGCCTGAGGTCATAGAGCCTGCCTGCTATCATCCAGGTCTGCCCATCTTTGATTTTGACCATCTATATAAGATTCATCTAACTCTAGTTAGAAAGCAATCGCGAGAGGATCGCCCCTACGGCTCGAATCATTCTCAGATGCCTCCCCGGGCATCCTTGTCCAAATTAAGCTTTGGCATTTCGATCTTCTGAGGAAGACCTCGCACCCGAGTGACGACTTCAAACTTGCCCGATTCCATCTCGGAATCAGCATCGGAGTCATCTGAAGCAATCATATCCCAATACTCCAAGGAATCGCTGGCCGAAGCCGCCGAACTGGGAGTCGCCTCCAATATCAGCTGACTGATATGCTCAGCAAGAGTAATCTCATCATCGTCTAAAGCTTTCTCTTTGTCTTTTGGGTCGAAGGATGATGACACCATTTCAGAATAAAAATTGAAGTCGCCAAAATAGAGCAGAATATTGAAGAATCGAAAAGATAAATTTTACAGAGAAAATAACAAAGCAAATGAGGAGAAAAGCAAACGTAATAAGAGTTTTTGCCTTGAAACTAAGGAAGACGAAAAAATCTCCAGCAAAAAAAAAGAGAGAGAAAAGAAAATAAAATCGAATAAAATATCAACGGTTTCCTTATAAGCCGTGTGTCGAGACTCGAATAAATCTTGCCGTATGAAAACCTTTCACTTTCCCGCTTGGAACAAAACCCTAATAGGCTGCTCATTTAAAGAAACATTTGTTTTATTATCATCATTATTTAAGGGAAGAGTCATGTGTCAAAACCACTTAAGGACAGGCCGAGCTGGCCATCGCAAAGGAACGCTCTTGACGAGCTGACGCTTATTTGCGAGATCAAACCATCCTACTTCATGAAGTCTGCCGAGCTGATTTGCAATCAGTCTCGCCGGACTGGGGGGGGTGGGGGGGGGGGGGGGGAGGACTTATTGTTAGAGAGGAAATAAGCATATTTCTTAAAAGGCTTTCTCTAGTAATAAACCTAAGCCCATCAAGATCAAAGAGGCCGCGCTGATGTAACTCAAAAAAAAACTCCTTGAAGATTTTCATCAATTCCCAAAATATCGGATCAACTCAAAGAAATATTCAAGGATAAAGAAGAATTCCAATATCATTCGGAGAGTAAGAGATATTTTCATACCGCAAATATGTAAATATTCACAAAAGAGAAAAGGAAAAAGAACTCGCGGTAATCGACTTCCTATTTCTATAAATAAGAAGATTCCAGAGAGCTAGAAGGACAACTCATACATTTTAGAGAGCAGCAGAGCTAAACCTAAAGACTCCAAGCTTTCTAATTCATAGCTTTAATATTTTCTTTTCACTTCGGCATAATCTCTCGGTTAAACCGTCTTTTGTAATCGTTTCGTTTTTAAGAATAAAGATTTTATTCTCTAAAACCTACAACCGTTAATTATAAATTCTAATGGTGATTTTCTGGTTCAATATGAAACCATTAAGCAAATAGAAGTTTCTTACATAAGTACAAAAAATTGATCTTTACAAGATGCATCAATTTTGTAAGAAGTTTTTTATTTTTTTTTGCAACAAGCAACTAATCGATAATAACTTTTTGAATAAATTATTTCCATAAATGCCTAGTTTATCTTTGTAACACGTAAAAACTTTTGACCAACAAACATTGAATACACCGATTAATTAGGGTCATGAAACTATTTTTCTTATTAGCGAGTCACCCATATCCGTTTATGAACGATAACCATACTATCGTCAAACGTTTTTTTCCACTTTCCATTTAGTCAATGCCCAACCATACAATTACGTGGCTTAAAGCATATAACAATAAAATTATCATAAAAATAAGAAATTTAAAATAACAATATAATAAAATGATCAAAAATGTAGAAATATATTAAAAATAATAGCAAAAAGTCATAATATAGAACAAACTTCTAATTATAAAAAATCAGATCTTCAAACTTTTTCTTAACAAATCCATTAATAATCAAATTTTTCAACCATATATTTTCCAATAGATATCATTGATAATTTATTCAATCTCTCTTGTGTTTAGAAATATTTAGATTGTCAAAATCAAAACTTAAATTTTCTGAATCAGATAGAGATACAAGTTAATGACAAAATTTGAAAGATTTAGTGATAAAATTTGATGATAAGAAGAATTCAAAGATATGACAATAGTCAGCAAATTTTTTTTTTCTACATTAAGGAAGGTCAAGAGATTTTCTTCTAATTTTATTTTATTGCTAAACAGAAAAGAAAACTAAAATTCTGATAAAAAAAGAAAAGAAAAAAACGAAAATTAAACATTGAGAGCACTCAAACTAGAGATATAAGAGAGAAAGTTTCATACTTAACCATCTAAGCTTAACAATTATTGAAAATGTGGCGTAAATGTTTTTTTTAAAAATTATGTGGCTTAAAGCCAATGCCTTACCAGCTTTAATGCAAGGACGGGTCTGCATTTAGTAGTTTTCTCATTAATGAGAAGATATTTTCCCCTATATTATATAACCCGTACCTGACTACCAGACTATATATATATATACCGCACATAAACATAACATTACTACACAGTCATTGAAAAGAAAAAATCAAAAAAAAATATTTTTTCCCTTATCTTTTCCCAACATCGGTAGCTTTGTTTTGCTGTAATATTTGTCAAAAAAAAAACTTTTGCTGTAATATTGATCATGGCCAAGTTATCGTGTTCTTATTTTCTTGTACTCATGCTTGTGTTCTCAGGTAATTTCATATTTTGCACAATAGATGCATATAAATGAATATAAATTCATATTTCATATTTCATATTTTCCAAACACCTGCAATAGATGCATATAGATTTTTTTTGATGAAAGATCTATACATATATAACTTTTGTTTGTCAATGTCGTACTTTTGTAGCTTGTTTAATAGTTGAAAGTGCTGAGGGAAAGCTATGTCACATAACCGTTGACAAAAGAATGTTTTGTGAAGAGGTCCATTGCCGTCAAAGCTGTTTTTCAGGATACAATGGCATTGGAACATGTTTTGACGACCCCAAAGTTGCTGGATCCCTTAATTGTGGCTGCAGCTATAATTGTTAGAGGAAACGTCTCTTAAAAAAGTTGTGATATTATAATAAAATGTATGATTTCTGTTTGTAATCATCGTAAAATTCCAGAGATCTTCATATGTGCGGATTTTTCGTTTCAGAATATAATTTATTAAAAAATTTAGTTACAATTAATTTTATTATATACTGAAATATTTTTCATAAATAATAGTAATAGTTTCAAAAATAATAGTAATACTTTAACTTGATGTTGCAACATCTCTTGACTAAATTTTTTTAATGTGTTACGGCTAAATAAATGTATGATGTTAAAATTATAAATATCTCATTCTGTTATTACATATTTTATTATTGAATGAGATACTTAAAATTTTAATGATGATTTATTATGTCTAAATTTTTCCTAAAAATATTATATATTTAAATAAATATATAATACAAATGTATATATTATCTCCTTTATATAAAAGAGATAAATTTTCTGCTTTCTAAGGGGTGCCACATAGGCAAAAATAATCAACCAATAAGAATATAACAAATTGCCACATCGTTAAATTATAAAAAAATTAACCAATAAGAATAAGACAATATATCACATCAACAAAAATAATTAACCAATAGTAGATTTCAAAACTGCTATGTCATCTTCTCCAACCAATAATTTAAAGCCATTTTATTAAATAATTTATTAATCAAAATTTCTTCAAATTTTACCTAAAAAAATATTTTATAATTCTTAAATTCTCGATAAAAAAAACAAAGCAAAAAAAAAACTGAAAACGAATTACACTAAAACTCAATTATAAAGCTTAAACAAAAGCTTATTTTATGGAGTCATCGTCTTCTCGGTTTCCAATCATCTCGCCTCTGACTCACCAGAAACGGAATCAGCCGTCACTAAACACAAATTTTACTTATTAATTAATGAGAACCAAACTGGTGATAAACAATAAAACTTAAATAAGTGGAGCATAAATATTTGGATATCCAAAAGACATAGCAATGAGGATGTCAAAAAAAAAACATAGCGATGAGCCACATATGGTATAAATAATACACAACTCTATCACAAATGAAGTCTAATGTGTCTCATGCTTGAGATTGTTGTAAGCAACATAAAAATACAATCTCACAACTGTTTTGCATTTATATTTATAATGTGAATCAAGTAGAATGAGTCTGAATCATAGTATTGTTGGAACTAGAGAACGTCTTTCTCGCTAAAAGTAAAACTTAAGGAGCGACTCAGTTTTCTTTCGTCTAGAAAAAATTAATTTATACAATTGTAACTTTTTGACTTATAACAGATTTCAAGTTTCTAAAGCTGATATAGAGTTTCATATTGTTCGTTGTAATCCGATATTGTAGAAAAACTGAAGTAAATATCTAACTAAAGAACCAAAGATTAAAGACAGTTACTCACTGTTTCTTAATTTTTATTTGCAAAATTTCATGAAACATAAAACTGAAAAGATTTTTTTTTCAAATAACATATAACGATAAATTCCATACTCTTCACCAATATTGGTAAATAATTGAGCTAGCTAAACTATCAAACAAATATTATATCAATCAATAAAGAACTTATATAATAAAAAAGTTTATTATTAATTGCCATTTGTTTTCTTCGTTGAATATATGGACTAATTATAAAACATCTATGTACATACCGAATCTTAAAAAATTGATAAGTAGAGAAATGCATACTATATGAAAATTAAAAACAAAATCCTAATACACAATATGAAACAAAAATAGAGTAAGGATTGAGTTTTTCTTTTTAAAAGTATCAAGCGATAGGGAAGCTTATGCAAAATATTTTTGAAAGTATAAAAAAATATTCATGGTGTCCACTAAAGAAATAACATTATAACGTAAGATGTCCAAATTTAGACAATATATTTCTAATATAATATATAGTTCATGTGGATACTATTTACATAAACAAAAAATGTAACAAAATTACAAATCAAATTATTATACAAAAATGTCAAACTTTACCCATCATATTTGCAAAAACATGCATTAACTCTTAAAAAAAAATTTAACTAAGCCAAAAGGTATATTAATCTACTTTCAAATTATTATACAAAAAATTCGATCATCTGTTCACATATATATATATATATATATATATATACATCCATCTGATACTTACTTCGCTCGATTATATCTAAGAATCACATGCAAATATACTACTCTATAATTTATCACAATATTAAACACAAAACTAATTGACAACCTTTTATAAAACTACAATATAACTATACAATCCACGCGTAGCGTGGGCAAAACACTAGTGTGGATAATAACTTTTATACTTCGTCCACCAGAAAATCTGAATTGTATTATACTTCTGTAAAGTAGGTTTGATTTTAATTAGTATGCAATTAAAAGGTAAATAATTAATTAGTCCAATTTTGATTACTTTATAATATTAAATTATTAATTACAAAACTTTAAAGAGACACATGTCACTTTCTCCAATGTTGATGTGGCATTCAACTGGAGAGAGTTGTCCATCTTTTATATAATAAATTAGCAAATTTAATTTTTTAGTTTGTAAAATAAGTATTTGTTTTTTATTTTTAAATTAATATCTTAAAAAGCCCAAAAAACTTGCATAAAAATAAACCCATAAAAATTAATATCATGGAAAACCCCAAATATTTAAAACCCATTAAATAAAAGTTAAATGCTGATATGGACACTCTAGATGGAAATATAACTGTCTAATTATATATACTAGGTATATAACTCGCGCTACGCGCGAGTCTGTATTAATATTTTGGTTTAATTTTTTAGCTACTATCTTTAAAATTATTAAAAATATAATATATTTATATAAATTTTCATTTATATAAGAAAATTTAATATATATTGTGTAATTTATCCTATTTTTATTTATAAATTTTAAAAAACTATTAGGTAAAATAATAACAATGACACATATCAAATTATCCAACTTTGATGTACATATATACTTGATTTAGAGAAATATTTTCTTGCTAAGATTTTGATAATATTTTCTGTTTTCCATAGAATTTCTATAGTTCTTTTTTCTTGAAGGCTTATATGTTCAAATATTTAATTTTTTTATTGAAAGTCGTATTGATGTTGTGTATGCAAATATGATCCATGTTTCATGTTGATTCGCATTTAATTTTGTTAGGAAGCTGTAATAATCATGCAAAACCATTTTTTTCTTCTCCACCATGTCTTCCAAAAGTTTTATGTTATATTTTTATTCTGTTCTCATTGTTTTAATTGTTAAATTGAGTTACTGTAGATTTTTTTTTTAAATTGATAATTGATAATGATTACTTTTTTATACATGTATTGTAAATTGTTAATTTTTTTATTTAATGTTTAAATTTTTAAACCATATTAATATTTTCTGATTTAATAATACGTATTGATGTTGTGTACCAATGCATATATAATTCATGATTCATGTTGATTCGCATTTAATTTTGTTAGGAAGCTGTAATGATCATGCAAAACTATTTTTTCCTTCTCCATCATGTCTTCCAAAAGTTTTATGTTATATTATTATTCAGTTCTAATTGTTTTAGTTGTTAAATCGACTTGTTGTAGATTTTTTTAAATTGATAATTGATAATGGTTACTTTTTTATATATGCATTGTTAATTGTTAATTTTTTTATTTAACGTTTAAATTTTTAAACCATATTAACATTTTCTGATTTAATATATATATTGATTTGGATCAATCAGATTGAATTTACTTTTTTTTATTAGACATAATTTGTTAAATTAACTTTTAATATTTTAATTCTACTTAATAATTTTTAGTTTGTTTAAAAAGCTGATGTGGACCAATTAAATCAAGTTTTTCTGTCCTAATCATAATTAACATTCTGTAATTAATGAATATGATGATGTAGACCAATTAAATCGAATCCTATGTGGACGCACTCAATGTCATCAACTTTTATATATTACTAGGTCTATAACTCGCGCTACGCGCGAGTTTGTATTAATATTTTGGTTTATTTTTTAGCTACTATCTTTAAAATGATTAAATTTTTTATATATTTATTTAAATTTTCATTTATACAAGAGAATTTAATATATAATGTGTAATTTATCCTATTTATGTTTATGAATTTTAAAAAACTATTAGGTAAAATAATAACAGTGATACCTATCGAATTATTCAACTTTGACGTACAAGTAACTTTTATTTAGAGAAATATAATATTGCTAAGTTTTTGGTATTATATCCTCTTTTCCATATAATTTATATAGTTTTTTTTTTCTAGAAAGTTTATGTGTTCAAATATTTAGCTTTTTATTGAAAGTTTTATTGATGTTGTGTACCACTGTATATATAATCAATTATTCATGTTGATTCACATTTAATTTTGTTAGGAAGCTATAATGATCATGCAAAACCATTTTTTTCCTTCTCTATCATGTCTTCCAAGAGTTTTATGTTATATTCTCATTCAATTTTCATTTTTTTAATTATTAAATCGAGTTATTGTAGATTTTTTTAAATTGATAATTGATAATGGTTACTTTTTTATATACATGTATTTTTAATTGTTAATTTTTTTATATAACTTTTAAAATTTAAAACCATATTAACATTTTCTGATTTAATAAATATTTTAATTTGGATCAATCAGATTGAATTTACTTTTTTGTTGGGCATAATTTGTTAAATTAACTTTTCATATTTTAATTATATTTAATAATTTTTGGTTTGATTTAAAATCTGATGTGGACCAATTAAATCAAGTTTTTCCATCATAATCATACTTAACATTTTTATTTAATGAATATGCTGATGTGGACCAATCAGATCGAGTTTTTTAATCCCATGTGGACGCCCTCAATGCACTATGCTATCAACTTTTATATATTACTAGGCTTTTAATTCGCGCTACGCGCGAGTCTGTAATAATAATTTGGTTTAATTTATTGACTAATATTTTTTAAATTATCAAAACTATAATATATTTGTAGAAAGTTTTTTTATATAAAAAAATTAAAACATAATATGTAGTATTTCCTATTGTTGTTTATAAAATTATGAATCTTATTAAGTAAAATTATAGTAACGACACCTAACGAATTATCCAACTTCGATGTGCAAATGTTTGATTTAGAAAATGATTTCCTTACTAAATTTTTGGTGTTTTGTTTTGTATCCTTAGGATTTTTATGGTTCTTTTTTTAAAAAGGTTTATATATTTAAATATTTAGTTTCTTTA